TAAATATGTTTGTTTTAAACATGCTTTTCATGTTTAAAATAAACAAACATATTTTAAAATTATTTTAGCATTTGAATGCGGTTATCCCACAACAACATAAAATGGATAGCAATAAATGGAAATCTATAGACACGGCACCAAAATCCCTGCTATTTTTTGGTGCGATTAAGAGTGGTATGTGGGTGGTCCGAGATCCGGTGGCCCGTCGGGGTGGGTGTCCGGTGGTTCCAGTTCAGTAGAGTCGTTGACACTTTGTGATATTAAAGGGTGATACGGTCAAAATTTGGTCAATATCAACTTGACGTATTTCTTTCAATTTTGCATTTAAAAAACCTGAACACCCCTCATTTTGAAGGTGTGTGTGTGTAGAATGTTGCTCCTATTTTGATTTTGGAATTCACTCTTCAGTTGTCAAAATGCCGTCCAAGCAAGAAGAGCAGCGTATCAAAATTTTGCTCGCGCATCGCGAAAATCCGAGCTACTCGCACGCAAAGTTGGCAAAATCGCTAAAAGTTGCCAAATCAACCGTTACAAATGTAATTAAAGTGTTTGGGGAACGTTTGTCGACAGCCAGGAAGTCTGGATCGGGGGGAAATCGAAAACCGGAAGCCGCTGAGACGACAAAGAGAGTTGCCGGTAGTTTCAAGCGAAACCCTAACCTCTCTCTCCGAGATGCCGCAAATAAGCTGGGTGTATCGTCTACAACCGTGCATCGAGCCAAAAAACGAGCCGGACTATCGACTTACAAGAAGGTAGTGACTCCAAATCGCGATGATAAACAAAATACGATGGCCAAAGCGCGATCCCGGAGGCTGTACACGACGATGCTGACGAAGTTTGACTGCGTGGTAATGGACGACGAAACCTACGTCAAAGCCGACTACAAGCAGCTTCCGGGACAGGAGTTTTATACGGCAAAAGGAAGGGGAAAGGTAGCAGATGTTTTCAAGCACATGAAACTGTCAAAGTTCGCAAAGAAATATCTGGTTTGGCAAGCCATCTGTACCTGTGGCTTGAAAAGCAGCATTTTCATAGCTTCCGGGACTGTCAACCAAGAAATTTACGTGAAAGAGTGTTTGAATAAACGTCTGCTGCCTTTCCTGAAGAAACACGGTTGTTCCGTACTGTTTTGGCCGGATTTGGCATCTTGCCATTACGGTAAAAAGGCCATGGAGTGGTACGCCGCCAACAACGTGCAGGTGGTTCCCAAGGACAAGAACCCTCCCAACACGCCAGAGCTCCGCCCAATTGAGAAATACTGGGCTATTGTCAAGCGGAACCTAAAGAAGACCAAAAAAACTGCTAAGGGCGAGCAGCAGTTCAAGGCAAACTGGCTTTCTGCGGCGAAGAAGGTGGACAAGGTGGCTGTACAAAATCTGATGGCAGGGGTCAAGCGTAAGGCCCGGCAATTCGGATTTGGAAAAGCGGAAGCCTAACTGAATATTTTTCCTGAATTTTATACTAATTGAACTTGAAAAAGAAATTTAATTTGATTTTTTAAATAAACGATTTCACCGATTTACACGCGTTTTCCCTTGACCAAATTTTGACCGTATCACCCTTTAGCTTCGTTTTGTGTTTCTGACGCCGGTCCTCATACCGACCTCTTTCTATGTTTGGTGTTGGGGGAGGATCTGGAATGGATTCAGAATCCATTTCGGATTTTCGTTTTTCTTTCGATATTTGATGGGGGTAAGGATTATATGGGGATCAGCATCAGAAACGACGGAGTGACGTTGATACTGTTCCGCCGGTTTTGTCGAGCTTGGAACACTTGCCTAAGTGGGATTCCGGACCCCTTACTTCAGTTTTGCTGTTTGGGGGCCCTTTTCAGTTTAGTTTGCCGTCACTGTTTGACACCCCACCGAGGGGCGCTAAGATGTTGATTTTTGTTTATGTAATCCCACTAATTTAAAATTGGCGTTGACGGCACCGCCAAAAAACCGTCTCTTCTAGCAAAGATTGACAGTTTCTTATGGGAATTTTCAGTTGAGTGAAAGGATAGTACCAACAATCAATACGAAACTAACGATTTTAAATTGGCTCACTACTTGACTAGCCTATTGGTCCCAAGCAAACGATTAACGTATCCCATTCTAGCCGAAATTCTAGTTTGACAGGTGAAATGAGGGGTTATTCGTTTTTCCTATGTTTCGAGGGGTGAATCGATAAGCTTGGGACTGAAGAGAGTACCAGAGCTGAGCCAAAAAGTTGAGCACGTTATTTCGGGACCTTCTAGTCTTAAGGCCCAAGCGCAATGACAGCGGAAGCGGAACGGCAACGGCAGCGAAAAAGCCCGATCTGAGTAAGCCAACTTCTCGGATTGAGAACTTGTTGGAACCAAATTGACTTCGGTTAGGCATCTTGATGTCATTTGTGACAACTGTCAAACTTTCCGTTTCCGTTCCGCTTCCGTCCACATTGCGTTTGGGCCTTTAGAGTTACCTCTATGATAGTACCATAGAGGTAACTCTAAGACCAGAAGGTGCCGAAGAAACGAGCTCAACTTTTTGGCTCAGCTCTGTTACTATCTTCGGTCCCAAGCTAATAGATGCACCCCTTGAAACATATGAAAATAAACGAACCCCTCATTTTGTCTGTCAAACTTTCATAGCGAATCAAAACTAACATAGTGTAGTACTAGAATTTCGACTGGAATGGGGTACGTTAATCGATTTGCTTGGGACCAATAGGCTAGTCAAGTAGTGAGCCAATTTTAAATCGATAGCTTCGTATTGATTGTTGATAGTACGAAGTCCGCCATGTTTCACGCACAGTCTGACGTTTGCTTATGGATTTTACTGTTGGAGTAAAGAGCTACAGAATCGACGTCAACGCCAATAGCTTGGAACAATTTCTAGGGACATCAAAGAAATTGAGGCAATTTTATAGAAGAAGGGAACTTTATAGATGTTCAGCGAACATTATATGAGTTATAGAAGATTCGAAAACTTCACAAAACTTGCTAGAAATTCAGTGATTTTCGTAGAAGTTTTAGAATGTTTGTATTAGCTAATCGTACACACTTAGATTTTTTTGCCGAGCTTCAGCAAAATTTATGTGTGTTAGCTGAGATCTTTTTAAAATTCCCCTTTGTTAGCTGAATGTTGGCAAGTGTTTCACTGAGTTACAGCAAAATGAAATGCCGTGCCCATCCCGGCAAAAAAAAAATCGAAGTGTGTAGTAATTCAGAGAGCAGAAGTTGACATAAGTTCTAGAAGTTTTCGGAACTTCCGATAAGCTCAAGAATAAGAATTTCAGGGAGCTTTGTTTGAGTCCACGAAACTCAGTTTAAGGTGATTCCATGAAGAGCCCCAAAATAACCCAAATGACGGCTGATATGCCCTATCTCGCGTAACATTTGTAAAAGGGCCTATCCTCGTTGATCGATTCTCTTTATCGACTTTCTCTTTGATTTACCACAGCAACATAAACGAATTTCTCGCTAAGCTCGCAGCACAGTTCGACAGAAGATGATGTTAGCTTGCGCCTAAAACAACGCACTCAATGCGAAATTCATTTGCAGTCGGATTATTCGCGAAATAGAAAATCGATGAAGAGAATCGATCAACAATGATAGGCCCTTTTCTCGTGATGCGCGAGCTATCACTTAAACTTTCCTAGGGCACAAATCTCAGACACTGTTGTGACATCGCTCATGGAATTGGCACTCGTTGTTTGCTGCACTACAGCAAAAGTGAAGGTCCAGTTTCATTGTTGTTTGTTCTGTGAGATCTGTTATTTATACTCTTGAAGTATCGAGGTGCTAATGAGATAAATCAGAAAGAAGGATTCCACAGCTTAAGTTCAAAATTTCGTAGAAATTTCGAGAACTTTGTCGATATAAACTATATAAGAAATCACTAAAATCCTCTGGATATTTTTCACTGTTGAAAAATTTAAATGTCATCTGTCAGATATTCAGTGAAAACGGTAGGTTGATTAGGGATAACTTAAAAGATCTCCAACTCGAAGTTATCGAAGATCAAAGTTTCAGTTAAGTCTTCATTAAGTATTTTTTTTTCCAGATTGATCAAGTATTATTATGAAGATCTTAGACTGTTAAAAAAATGTAAATGACGATTCTCAGCTAGTCTCTCAAGATTGCTGGATGATAATATCCCGAAAAAAAATTAATTATAATAAAACAACGAAATTACAATGATTTTTACTGTTGAATTTTAAGTACATTAAAATTTATTGTTAAATTATTGTACGGGAGAAAAAATAGATTTTTAGTGTGATGCGATCAAATTTGTTCGAGAAAAATCACTTTTTTATATTGTTAAGATGCTTGTTCCTTTTTTACTGTAAATTTCTCAAATACCATGATTTTCATTGTTGTGAACCATGAATTTCGTTGTGATTTTATGGTAATGGACAAAAATGTCCAATGTTTCGACAGTAAATATCAAGGTTACAAAAACAATGAAAATCATTGTATTTTTATTGGATTTTTTTTTTACAGGATATTATCATGCGAACAAAGTCTTCACAGATTTTCAAATGCCTTCAAAACGAAGACATGTCTTCAAATCTAGCATCCCTGAGTGAGTAGCAATTGTCCATACTTTTACTAGAGTGCTTTAGGCGATACTACCAAGAAAGCAATATTTAAATTTACCAATAACTGCATATTCGATGGACCGCATTTTGTCCATCGAACATGCAGTTAGTGTTGTTTCTATTTGTCTGTGTATTAACTGAAGGTACAGGTGTCTTTTAATTTGCCTATGTTCCTGTGAAAAGTGAAAATTCTAATCTGCAGTCTAAGTAGTGTTGAAAACTACAGTGAATGATCCATTTTGAAACTATGCAAGCCGCCATTTCCAAAAGGGGAAAACTGTATATTGTCGGGTTAAGGACATACTGAGCAGAATCCACAAATGGCTGCCATGATGCCTTTCTCCCTGCCTAAGTGTAAAGTATGAGATATTTCTTTCCGCATACAAAAGCCACCATCATCAGATATAACATTTTATACACATATTCTCTACCACTTACATACAGGTGATTATCTTTTGATTCTACCAAATCGAGTTCCTTCGAATGCTACCTTATTATTTAAATAGCAAAATAAATAACCCTACATAAATAATCACACAAGTGACTGCGATCATTGAAAATCTCTACCGAAAACGAGAAATTATAACGAATCACTAACTTATAACCTCTCGAGAGTCCCTGTATTACATTACAATGCTGTGTATCCTCATTTACTCATCACTTTCGCTGACACTCCTGGCCTCGAGCGAGTCCGTACAAATGGTCAACTCCGGTGATTCGGCACCACTGTTGCCCGGACCAAGTACCATGCGTCCACCGCTCATTGCCGCTTGAGCTCCAATATTGTGGTTGCTGTTTGGCGGCGGTGGAGACGCTTGGTCTCCGCCACCTGCGTTCGAAAGCCCCATTTGGGGTGGCACTACGCCGCTGGAGATCTGCCGTTGCCGTATCAATGCCAACCGCTGTTGGGTGATTTCCAAGTGGTGTTTGCGCCATTTGATTCTTCGATTCTGGAACCATACTTTGACCTGGGTAAACAAATAAGCTTCAATTAGTTCTGGAGAACAGCCTCTGGTTGTATTTGAGGAAACTAACCTGTGCTTCGGTGAGTTGCAGGGTATGAGCCAGATAGAGACGCTCCGGACCAACCATGTACTGTTGGCGTTCGAATTCGGCCTCCAGACGTTCCAGCTGTTCGGGAGTGAAGATCGTTCGGACGCGTTTGCTTTTCAGGGCCGCCGATGCTGATAGAGAGGATTTCTTGGCTAGATCTGAAACAACGAAATGAAAGGCTTGATTCCAATTGATATAAACATTGATGTTGTTACATTACAGTGCTTGCGTTTTGTTTTCCTCTGTATAAATTATTATACATTAGAGTTGATGAAGTGTATAAAAAAAATGACGTGGTACATACTCTTTTATTAAGCATTTCAACTTAAATATTGGCACACCTGCCTGTTTTTATGGGTAAAGTATTGATTTGTATGGTAGGGTATACGTCCCTAACCTCGGTCTAATATGCAGCCATCGATTACGTTTTTAATCATAACTCATCAATGAATTTACCTGCAAACGATATTCTACTGCTAAATGGTATGCTTAGATATGCTTATCATGTCGTTTGCTATCAGAAACCACGAAAAGTTGAAAAACTTACTTTTTTTAAGACAATAACTCACGAGGGAAATGTATGTAATATGGGTCTATTGTCCCCAAATTGGGTCTATTTATGGATGCAACTTCGTCCTATCTTGTTTGATCCTCAAAAAAACGCTCTTGGTAACGTTTTCTGATGTATTTTTTTTTATCACTATCACTGTTAACTTAATGCTCTTCATTCCTCAAAACATTTCTTAGAGAAAATTTTACGAAAACTACATTAAATCACTCAATTTAAAAATTAAAAATTAAAAATTTCGCTTATCGTCTTTTGACCGCAGAATATCTAAATCAGAACATTGTGATGTTCATTATACAGGTTTGGCAGAAAAAATCTCCCTTCCTGTTCGTTCCTTATCATCCAAATGCAAAACAACATTGTTGACGTTACTCTTATTGCTATATGCTGTCAAATGAATTTCATGGGCCATAGTTAGGAACATAGAAAAGAAATGTGTCCCTAAAGTTGGGTCCATGTTTTACTTGTGAAAACGTTGTTAAACAATTAAAATAAACATAAAATATTCAAACAGCAACTGTAAGTTTTACGTCTAGTGTGTATTATCAGGTAATTCCAATCAATAAATGCCATAATCAGGCCATTTGATGATCGTCAGTCAACCTTCCCATCTTAACCTTATAAGTCATGGCGGCTAAAAACTCCGAACATTGTGATATTCTCAACCAGTTTTATTACTTACGAGAGCTGAAAATGTATTGAAATGTTGTGATATAAATTGATTTGTGTGTGGTACACATTTATCAACCATCAGTGATCAATATTTTCCTTATTTTTTGTGTAATATTCCTTAATTAATTATTTATTTGCGTGATAGGCCGAATGAAAGGACTAGACCCACATTACATACCGTAACCCTACTTTTTATTCTTTCTATTGGTGCAAAATATGGGCTAAAAAAATCCCAAAATGGCGGGTTCGATATTTTTCAACAAATCATGACTCGTAAACGTCACTTCCATTCGAAATGGCGTCTGAGACAAAGTCGTAGGAAAAAGTAATTCCTTTTCAGGATAAATATACATGGTTAAAAATTTCAAGTAAATATGGGTTCTTCTTTGGCTTTATTACTTCCCTACTGGGACTTTACGCCGGCCCTCTACTTAATATTCTAGATGCATTTACACAGTAGTTAATTGATAGCTTAATATTTGCATTACCATAATTGTATGGTAAGTACAATCATACTATGTGCCCAAAGAAGTCGAGAAATTTTTCAACCCGATAAATTCCTAGATAAGGCTCGGAATCGAATCCAGCCACGTCCCGCATGGTCTTGTTTTATAGCCACCCCTTTACCGGCTGAGCTAAGGGAAGTCCTCAAAAACGTATAAAAAATGTGCTTGCAGCTGAATTATTAACGAAAGAGAAAGTCGAAGAAGAGAATCGATCAAAGTCACTTACACCCCTTTTCTTTTAACCCTAATTCCCTCATTTTATTTTCGAAGTGTCACAATTAAGTGAAAATTTTCCAAATGGACACAGCCTATAAATAGCTAAATTGTAGCTCAAATGTGAATGATTGGCCATAACTAGAGCCGTACTCAGGATATTTTGTTAGGTGGAAAACTCGACAGTGAGCATGCATAAGGCGTAACCATCGCGATAATCGATTCTTCTCGTCGATTTTCTCTTCGGTCAATAACTCGCATGGATTAACAATTCTCGGTGCGTTTGTCATTGATTTTGCTAGCCAATACCACCTGTTGCAGCACTGTATTGAAAAATGTCAGAAAATTGCTTCCCTTAGCTGTAGCAATTTAAAGACACAATCGATGAAGAGAATCGATCATCGCTTCTACGCCCTTAGAGCAACCGTACCAATGAGTAAATAAGGCACATTTACCAACCTCTACCATAACGCTACTTGCGTACCGGGTGTTGCTATTCAGGTTGGGGAAATAGCAATCCGCACCTTGGGAAGTAGTGGGCTCATAAATTTAGCAACCCGGTAGCAACGCATCAGACGGTTGCTATTTTGAATAAACGCCAAAAGTTTGTTTTGCCGGTGTGGAAAACGGTAACTTAAATTATGACTCTGATAGCAACGGCCGGTGTGGAGAGGAGTGATTAAGCCAAAATGGAAACGCTGTGCGTAAATATAGTGCCGCAAATGGCAACGACTGGTACGGTTGCTCTTATGCATGCTCATTATCGAACTGTCATTTTTGCACCCCGCACCCTTTGCTCTTTTATATAAATTCATAAGGGTAGCGTAAAAGAGAAAAAGATGTCGCAATACATTCTCACTCTAATATTTATTTTTTTTAAATGAAGTTGGAGTTGTTCCACCGACGATCTGACAACACATAGAAGCAACGGAACTGGTGGTGTAGTGATAATCGTGATTACCTCTCATCCCAGCAGGCCTGGGTTCAATCCCAGTCGGTGCCTCCGGGATGTTCTGAGGCATAACATCTCTGATCACGCCTTCCTTCGGGAAGTAAAGCCGTTGGTCCCCGGTTCATGAGTCGATGGGTTGATGGGTAGGGTCCAGGTGTGGGAGCTGCCTCCCTGGCGTTGGTACACGGTGAATGAGAACGACTCAAATTTGAGTTTAGTTCACTCATAATCACCAAAAGTGTAGGAACTCAGTGATGAGTAAAATTTGTCTCGTGGTTTCCTGTGGAAAACCTAAAAAATCTGCCGGAAAATGAGGAAATTGACGAAAATTTTATTCAGTCTCGGAGTAGGACCAATAGACTGAGTGAATCCAATCTTTACTTTTCTCAAATTCAGGAATTTTTCCTTGCAAAATCCTGGAAAAACATGAGGCAAATTTACTTATCGCTGAGTTCCTGCACTTTTGGCGATTATGAGTGAACTAAACTCAAATTTGGGTCGTTCTCATTCGCCGTGTAGCATTGGTGCTCAGCACGGAAAACAAGATTGACGGAAAACAAATCAAGGAAAAAACACATAGAAGCGATATTCAAATTCAAATCCCTGTTCACAGATTTTTCCTGGATTTCGTAGAACTTCGATGAAGTTCTTCAAATTTTCCTGTTGTTTTAAGAATTTCTACGAACTTCAAGCTGAACGTCAACGGCGCCGGTGGTGTAGTGGTAAGCGTGATTACCTCTCACCCCAGCAGGCCTGGGTCAATCCCAGTCGGCGCCGCCGGGATGTTCTGAGGCATAACATCTCTGATCACGCCTTCCTTCGGATGGGAAGTAAAGCCGTTGGTCCCCGGTTCATGAGTTGATGTGATGGGTCGATAGGTAGGGTCCAGGTGCGGGAGCTGCCTTCCTGGCACGTCGGTAGCATTGGTGCTCAGCACGGAAAACAAGATCGACGGAAAAAACAAACCAAAAAAAAAAAAAGCTGAACGTCGCTGAGTTTTGCATTTTTTTTAGATTTTCCTAGCGAGACCATCGTCATAACGTTTGAAGATTTTTTTTAATTTTTGTAGAACTTTCCTATAATTAGAGCAACATTGAAGTTCATATAGGTATGATTGAGTTCACAGAACTCTCTTGAAGTTTGTAGAGTTGTCCTAAAGCTCGTAGAAGTTTTCTGGTGGTGGCATTATTTATCTGAAACTTGCAGTACTTTTCTTAAACATTGAAGAACTTCTGTGAAGTTCGAAGCGCATCTTGAAATTTTGCAGAATTTTCCAGAGGTTTTTAAAACTTCCATGAAGTTCAATGAACGTTTATCAAGGATGTTTATCATCTCTGTATCTCTAGAATTATCAAGAGTTTCCTGTGGTTCGCAGAAGTTCTTAAAATTTCCCTTTACTTCGGAGATCTTTATTGAAATTCATAGATTTTTCATGAAGTTCTCTGAACTTACATGTGTTCGCAAAAGTTCTCTCAAGTTCGCTGAATTTTCTTGAAATTCACAAAAATATCCTGAATTTCGCAGAACGCCTCTGAAGTTTGCAGTTCAGAAAACTTCAGTACATCCTCAAAGTTTGAAGCAGTTCCCTTAAATTCTCACAGCCTCTTCACTAATAAAATTTCAAAGATTAGGCAGCTCCCACACCTGGACCCTACCTATCGACTCATCAACTCATGAACCGGGGACCAACGGCTTTACTTCCCATCCGAAGGAAGGCGTGATCAGAGATGTTATGACTCAGAACATCCCGGCGGCGCTGACTGGGATTGAAGCCAGGCCTATTGGGCTGACAGGTAATCAAAATTTCTTTCTGAGAGTTCTTTTTTACTTTGAAATTACTTTACGGCGCCGTTAAGTGTATTTGTGGTGATGCAAATTATGGTTTAGATGACGCATGGCTTCAAACATTTTGTGTATCCAAATAAAACATATTACATACTAAATACGCACAGGGCATCGTCTGCTGACCATTGCCGCGGGTATATCGTGGGAGTCCCGGTACCCGGTTCAAGCTTTAGTTGGCGGCGGTGGCTCTTCTTGACCTTCTATCCCCTGAGTAGTTAGTGTGAATAAGGGCGTCTATGTGATGTTTTGCTGTACCTGTTGTGGACATCTAGTACATCCTGTTCCCTTAACTTGTTGAGGACACCCTGTCTTGCCTCAAAAGTTACCTTTTTTGAAGTACTAGTCTTCACAACATAAAGGGCACCATTACGGAGCATGAGATTTGATCAAATTATTCGCAGTTCTACTTGTCCAACGCCCCGGCTGGGTGAGGGATAGAGGATGACACACACACACAATAAAATTTTAAAACTTTTTTTGATATTTTTGAAAAAATGTGACTTACATTATCACTACATCCCACTATTAATAGAATGATTTGAGATAAGCTGTAACATTTTTAATATTATCGGACTACAATATTCGTTTCGTCACACCGGGAGAGTGAAAAATTTGTTCTATTTGACAGCTCAAGGGTTCGATTTTAGGTTCCGTTTTCGCATCATCCAGGTTTAGACTAAAGAGTTATAACATTTTATAAGAATTATCGACAAGGAAAATGTCATCCCGATAGGCTTATAACTGATCAGTCTGGACAGCGCATAAGTGACAGTTCGACAATCAGCCTCGAACATTCCTATATTATCGACATTCTCTTTATCCTTTGGTTTGTTTTCCGTCGATCTTGATTTCCGTGCTTAGCACCAATGCTACCGACGCCAGGGCCTGCCTCAGCTCCCACACCTGGACCCTACCCATCGACCCATCGACCTATGAACCGGGGACCAACGGCTTTACTTCCCTTCCGAAGGACGGCGTGATCAGAGATGTTATGCCTCAGAACATCCCGGCGGCGCTGACTGGGATTGAAGCCAGGCCTATTGGGCTGACAGGTAATCAAAATTTCTTTCTGAGAGTTCTTTTTTACTTTGAAATTACTTTACGTGATACAATGTACAAACATGTAACTGCGGAAAGTACTAATCCAATCATTAATGACAAATATTACGTTTTCAGCTCAACGATGATAAATAGAAAATTAACTTAAATTTGAGTTCATTTATTATTACTCAATAGATGAGTAAATTTGAACCATCGCCGCTTTTCTGATTCACTCAACGGTGGACCGCAAATGATAGAACCCGACGCGACGTTGAGTTTTTTTTTTAAACTTAATGTTGAGTATTTTTTCTCACCATTTTACCTGTGGGCAAAATTTCGTAAAATTTTGAGACCCTTCGGTTCAAACCTGCCCGATATTACAAAAAATCAACGTTACTAATGGGGTGTTTACACTTATGCTATTTCACTAGCGCTAATGAACTAGCTGCCAGCAAAAAAGCTCACTAGCACACTGTAAACAGGTCATCAGCGTCTACCAGCATGAAATTTCAGGAGCAACTGAAATTCGTGCTAGTTGGCGAGTACACTAGTGCGAGTAAATCCGCACAGATGTAAACACCCCATAAAACAGCGCGTATTATGTTCGTAGCGCAGGATTATTTCCACTGAAAGGCCATGCGCCTCCATCAAATGTCGTCAGACAACACCATCGGACATGCTTTATTAATACTACACCTAGAGAGAGTCTAGTATAAGAGAGGAGCGGATTAAAAAAATGCCACCTATGCCTAGGTGAATTCTAGCAACACTGCCAATGAAATCAAGATAGGTGCTGCTCGATTGGCTCTGGCTTTGACAGTTCGTTTGGCTCAAAACCAGCCAGTTCGCTCCTCTCTAATACTACCTACATAAACCAAACTGATTTCAACATTTAATTTAATCTCTATTCTGGCTTATTTCCCACATCAACACTCCAGCTCTTGCATCAATACCCAGTAGGCACCTATCCCACAATGTCTCACCTTTAAATTTATCCCGATGATGATTCTGCGCGTGGTGATGGTGTGCCGCCGCCGCCGCCATCGCCAGATGATGCGGATGATGGTGCGAGTGATGGTGATGCGGGTGATGATGGTGTTGGTGATGGTGCGGGTGGTGGTGATTGGTCAAATGTTGCGATGTTTGCTGCGACTGTTGCGATGGCGTCTGCTGTCCCCCCAGATGATGTCCCGATGGCAGACCTTGATGGGCGGGATGTTGCTGTTGTTGTTGTTGTTGCTGGTGATGCGCGGAAAGATGCTGCAGTCCGCTGTTGGTACTATTCGGGATGCTACCGGAACTTGCACTTCCACCGCCGGCTGTGTGATGCTGATGGTGAAATTGATGAGGAGAAAACCCGCCGGCACTTCCGTGGATGTGGTGCAGCGTCTGGAGGGCCGCAAGGCTGGGTGAAGATTGCGATAAGTGATGTGTAAGATGGTTTTGGCTGTTTTCCACACTCGATGGGACATCCGTGAGGGAATCGGAATCTTTACTAATTCGCAGCTGAAAGGCCGACGCCGTGTCACTGTGATTGTTCAAGGATAGGTTCATAACATCGCTGAAGCCATGGCCGTCGGCTTCCTGTTTCTTCTTAAGCCCTAAAATGGCTGCTATCGTGAAGGATTTTCCAATCCCGTCGGCATCGAGCGGAGTCGTACTGGGGGTGTGATTGTCGCTTCTGGCGGTATCGATTGCCTCTTCATCGCACCCATCGTCGGCATCATCGTCATCGATGATGTCGATGTTGTTATTTTCCGCATCGCTGCTCTGGTTGGTATCGGTATTCTCAATATCCAGACTATTTCCGCCTACTAGATCGGGATTCTTATCACAATCGTCATCGCCTCCTATGGTGTTATTATTGAGCAGATTCAAATCTTCGTTGCTATGCTTTTGATGATGGTGATGATGATGCTGGTGCAACTGCTGCTGGTGATGTTGGTCCAAGGCGGCGGCTGCGGCTGCGGCAGCGGCGGCCGCTGCTGCCGCCGTGGCATGCGAATTGTGTAAGTTGAGAAAATGTGTCAAAGGATTCGTGTGGTATTTCGCTGGCTGGTGGTGAATCATTGCTAATTTACTACTCGGTAACTTTCCGATAATGAAGACGCACTCTTATCGAGCTGGACAACTTAATTATATGGGAAAACTATTCGCAGCCCGGTTGACCTCCCACCCTTCCTTCCGCCAACCGACCGACGACCGCCAGAAAGGAGAGTATATACCCCGATGATGAGGGTCAACTTCATTTGAGAATTTACACTAATGGGATGGAAAACTTTTTTTTTCTGCTCCCCAATTTATCCGTCCAATGAAGCGAACAAATTCTGTCCTGAAACGAAAAAAAAAAGTTAAGAGGAGAAATCGGGGGTTAGTATTGTATCGCATTAAATTAGCTGAAGCGAATTGTCGCTCACACGATGAAATGAAAAGTTCTCTCTGGTCCGGGCAAATGAAGCTCTCATCCTAAATTGAGACGCGTACTACAACAGCTTTAATTAAATTGTTTAAAGTGAAACAAGAAGCTTCGGCCTTTGTTCGGACGGTGTGGACGTGGAACTTTAAATTGACTCTTGCAGGCACATAAAGAAAGGTGGAACCAGGGTTTGGAAGTAGGGCTTCTTTGTTTGCATTATACGTAGATTATTTGGCGTCTCCATTAGCAGGTAAGTAGTGTAGCTTGTGCATTGCACAATGAATGATTATATTCTCAAGTAACAGAGGCGTGTTAGAGAGATCGGAACGTTGCCGCCAAACGGGTGAGTAGTATTATGTTTCATCAATATTATTAATTACAACTAGCAGTTAGAGCAGCTTATTTTGTATCTTGCAAATTTGAATTAACGAGTTACAAATTACACTTTATTCTCTTGTTGTCAATTTATTGCCCTTTGGTCATTTTCGCAATTGTTAATTAAGAGCTTTCCAAGTTTGTATCATTTTTGTCCTTTTAAGGCCCAAGCGCAATGACAGCGGAAGCGGAACGGCAGCTGCAGCGGAAAAGTCCGATGTGAGTAAACCTACTTTTCAGATTAAAAACTAGTTAGAACCAAATCGACTACGGTTAGGCATCTTGATGTAATTTGTGACAACTGTCAAACTTGCCGTTTCTGTTCCGCTTCCGCCCACATTGCGTTTAGGCCTTTACTCGAGGGATCATCGAGTAAGAGAGGATATCGAACTACGGAGGTTAATTTTGGAAATGTTATGAGCAAAGTAGTTAAAGTAGCCTCGAGTTAGAAAGAATATCGAGTTAGGGTAATATCAATATCCCGTTCACACTACAGCCTATCCAAACTAATAATTTTCACAATATAAAAGCTTTTACTCATTTCATTTATACAACCTCAAGCCACAGACAAACATACATAACACATTGAATATTTCTCAATGTAAAACATCGCCGCTAAAACATTACCGCCATCTGTTGAGTACACTGTGGTGGGTAGTACGCTGAACAGATGGCGGTAGTGTGTAAACGTGTGTTGTGAATGGCTGTTCAGTCTCGACAAAATCAAAATACTGCTATTTAATTTTTGTCCAACGTTTCGGTCCGTTTGGGACCTTCTTCAGGGACTCAATTTTTACAGTTTTCTTGTCTAGTGTGATTCTGTGGAACCTGAAGATGTCCCGAGGTCAGAGTTTTCCCGCTCAAACACAAACGGTACGAATTCATTTATCCGTCGAAAACCCTTTCCAATTTCTACGCTCTGGAATTCAGTACACGGCACTAGAATGATCACCATTGCTTTTACAACGTAAACGTCAAACGCAAGGGAATTGACTATGTACGTCACAGGTGGCTGTACTACCAACTACGATACTTTTAAATTGACCGTTAAATGCTTATTCGATGAACATCTTGCGAGTGTTATGTCTGTTTGTCTATGCTCAAGCTGTATTCAAATGTTATACAATATGAGGAAACCTTTAAGCAACAAACGCAATGTGGGCGGAAGCGGAACGGAAACGACAAATTTGACAGTTGTCACAAATCAATGAGCTGGATTACCGAGGTGAAGCAATCGGTTAAGTTGTGTGAGTAAAACCCCTGTACGATACAAGCAATTAGTGACGTCACTACTTGCGTTTACGTTGATTTTTCGGTTTACTAATACATCAATATTTCTCGATCTGCTTCACCTCTCTCTGTATCTCATTGGTCACAAATGACATCACGGTGACTAACCGAATTCGATTTGGTTCTAACTAGTTTTCAATCCGACAAGTAGGCTTCCTCCAATCGGGCTTTCCCGCTACCGCTGCCGTTCAGCATCCGCTGTCATTGCGCTTGGGCCTTACTTACTTACTTACTTATGATAGTTCCTCCTTACTCAAATATTACATGGCAGAACAGGAAACCCAAATTGATATGAAAATACCTACACACTTAAAAATAGCTAATTTTAGACGTGACGGAATCCATCTTTGACATAAAATATGAGACGTAATCAAACAGGTCATGTTATATTAAGTGCTCTGAGACTGAAAAGTTCGTTGTTCGTGGACAAGTACGTTTGATTGAGCTATATTTCGCGTCTGTTATGACTCAAATTTATGTCCAAATTGACGGTCGTATATGTCGCTCTCAGAGCACCTAAATTTACATGATCTGTACTTTATGAATTTAAACTCAGTTTTCTCAACAATTGCGCGTGCTTCAAAAAATCTAACTAGACGTATGGATTTAGGAAGGTCTATTCAACAAAATTCAAAGGAAGGAGCCATAATCCATCTTGGATGAACATAAAATCCAAATTTTAACAAAAATACGTACTTTAAACCTGGTTTGGTGGGTGCTTAAAAAATAATCATCACGTATGAATTCAGCAAGGACCACAACTTTCAATGGACGGTATCAAAATCCAACTTAGCAGAAAAGGAAGCCCAAATTTCAAAAAAATATACTCTTCGAATTACAAACCTGGTTCAACCTTCACGTATAGATTCATAAAATGTCCATTCAATAAAATACAAGCTTATTTTTCAAAGATATGAACCGGAATGCAATTTGGCAGAACTGAAAAACAAAATTTCTATGAAAATACGTATGGATTTAGCAGTTCTATAAAATCCACGACTATTTTCAAAGGAAGGCGCTGAAAATCGACTTGACATACAAATTTCTATAAAAATACGTACTTTTGAGAATTTATACCCAGTTTTCTAAAAAAAAATGTGCATGCTTCAAAAAATGTACCACCACGTATGGATTCAGCTAGGTCCAGCCTATAAAATCTAATCCTATTTTTCGAAGGTCTGAGCCAAAATCCAACTTGGCTGAACAGGAAACCCGAACTTCCATCAAAATACGTATTATTGTGAATTTAAACTCGCTTTTCAAAAAAAAATTCAAAAAAATAATCCTGACGTATGGATTTAGCAAGGCCCATTATTTAAAATCCAAGTATATTTTTTTAAATATTGGAGCAGAAATTCAACTTGGCAGAACAGAAAATCAAAGTTTCTATGAAAATACGTACTTTTGTGAATATTAAGCAGGTTGGTCCTTTACGTATGGATTCAGCAAGTTCCATGCTATAAAACCAAAGCACAAACTTGTAACGATAGAACCGAAATCCAACCTGGCTTAAAAAAAAAATCTGCCGTCACGTGTGAACTCATAGAGGTCTATTCTATAAAATCCAAGCCTGCCTTTCAAAGGACGGAGCCAAAATCCAACTTGGCTGATCAAGAAATCCAAATTTCTATAAAAAAAATAGAAATGATGTAAGCCCAGTTTCCTAAACAATTGTGCTTGCTTAAAAAAATCTACCATCAGGCATGAACACACGAAGGTCCATTGTTTAAAATCTCAGCCTAATTTTGAAAGGATATGAATCTCACAAGAGCGAGGAAGGGGTCTAGGGGAGTGGAATCTATGTTAAAAGTTAGTTAAATCACTTCAGGAATGCTCAGACTAACATTAAATATAATTCAAAAGGAGTTGGTTGGAAATGCTAACATGAAGCTTTAGTGTGATGATTTATTAGCTAGAGAATGATCTTTAGAAGAGGGTATGTGGATAGTTCCGTTAGAGTACGGCAGTATGAAAATTGAATAGAAGTTGAAAATGAGCGAAGGGCCATTAATGTGACAGTTTTTTCAAGATAGACGCACATTTTTGCCTAACCCGTACGATGTACGCGGGGACTTGAAGTATGTCTCCAAGTCCACAGGCAAAAATGTGCGTCTATCTTGAAAAAACTGTCACATTAATGGCCCTTCGCTCATTTTCAACTTCTATTCAATTTTCATACTGCCGTACTCTAACGGAACTATCCACCTACCCTTTTCTAAAGATCATTCTCTAGCTAATAAATCATCACACTAAAGCTTCATGTTAGCATTTCCAACCAACTCTGAAAATCGTTAACTTCGCGTATGAAGTAACACAAAAACACTTTGAATGTAATTCAAAAGTTTTGACTCCCTAAGGAAGGTATTGAACTACTTCTGAAAAAGTTGGACTCCGTTTGGAAAATTTAAGCTCAAAAAAGTGTCGGTTCACTTCGGAAAACTTTCTACACTTTTAGAAAAGCTAGATGACCTAAACAAGGTTATATCCTTGCCAAATGCCACAGCAGTTAACACAAAATTTGGCACTCACTTAGGAAAATATCAAACCTGTTTGGTCAAAGTTTGGAAAAAGTTTAATCAATGCAGGAAAGCTTGGATTCATTTAGGAAAGAAATTTAATCAGCTAATGTGGCCTCACTCCAGAAAAAGTGAAACCAATTCTTTAAACCTTAGGTTCGGGATATGTTGAATCACTTCAGGAAAGCTTTGACAACTTTGAGGAGGATTGAGTAACATAACAGAAAGGTTTAGACTCAGTTAGAAAAATGTTGATAACTTATTCGACGCAGTTTTGAATCTGCTTTGAAAAATATCACCTCAATTAGGAATTTCTTGAATCGTTTCTGATTTGATCTCACTTCTAAAAATTTAAAACTAATTTTGAAAAGATTGGATTTAGCTCGGAAATTGTTGAATCACTGTAGAAAAGAATTGAATCATTAAGTAGCATTGCAGCTTTTTTAGATCGAATACGAAAATCGGGTGACTAACGACCCAATGAAAATGGTTATTGGTAGCGACCCGACTGGAACAAGACGAACATTTGCGCAGCGAACAAGGGGGATCAATCAGATTGAAGGCGGCTTACCTAGTGAGTTGCCAAACAAGATTAGGAATGAGTTCGATAAAATCCGTTCAACAACTAAAACCGCCTGATCCGATTTCAAGGGCCTGGCATGCCGTACCGGTCTAGTACCAATTTTTGTAAAAAAAATTATTAAAGAACAAGATGAAATTCTACAACATAAT